TGTGTGTGTGTGTGTGTGTGTGTGTGTGTGTGTGTGCCTCATTTGTGACGGAGGGCAGCTTGCGTGTCCTAACAGCAGCAGGTCGGGGACAGGGTGGAGCAGGAAAAGTGACACCGGCTGAGCCTCAGAGGAGCGTGCTCACTCGCTCACCATCTGTCCCTCTCCCAGTTTTACACCAGAACCACACTTCTCTGTGTATGACTCTTCCATCCTGCTCTTTAAGCACTGTTTAAATACCAATACACATCACATCACATACTGGAGTATGATGCCTTCTGAAATAACATTTACTGATAATCATGACAGATTTAAAAATTATCTAAAAAAATATATTATCCAAAATGAAAAAATATTTAGATGAATTATAAATTCTGATTTATGATTCTGTTTTTGATATTATGTAGTCATAATTTGCAGTCGTGTTTTCTGCATTTTTCAGTTAAGAGTTTATGTTGTATAGATTGTATTGTTTTTATAATGTTTTGTTAGTGTGGACCCCAGGAAGATTAGTCTCTCCTATGGTGGACAATAATGGGGATCCTTTAATGAAATAAATAATAGGAGTGCAACGATACWGAAAAWTCCCTATTTGGTTYGGCTCGATACTTTAGTCTCATKGTTCAATAYTTTTTTCAGTACCAAAAAGGAAAATTTCCCATGCYCTTCTTAACTTRTAATTTATTGAAATTAATTATGAATATCAGTTTTTAAAGTRAACATTGCTGAAACAGCAAGTTTCTCAGTGGATCTGGGTTCGACAGTGCAGCCTGGGTGGAGTAATMGAACAYAGATCCAGTGAGYCTTCAACACAGCGCATTTTCAGAAGACAAGTTGATWWAAAAAWWTTTAAAAATCTGTGTTGTTCCATACGYAGTGCATAGTGAACCTWAAGCACTGTATTGAACGGTTTGATAAAGATACATGTATTGTTGCAACCCTAATAAACAAATAAAGTAACAAACACACACTTTAAGACTTGGCAATGCCATAAATATTCAGCATAATTAAAAATTATACTTCTTTTTCCTTACCAGTGTAGCCGGGTTCACAAGCACACTCGTAGCCATTGATCTTGTCAATGCAGGCCCCGTAGTCACAGGGATTGCTCTTACAGTCGTCGATGTTGATTTCACAGTTGATTCCTGGAGTTAAAAACAATTTAATCACTGCCATGAAGACCAGAATAAAAAAACAAACTCTGYWCAACATTTTTGTCATATTGATGATYAATCCTTAAATTTTAAATCTGTAAGCCAAATCTGTGATTTGATGACAGCTAAGTGTGTTTGTTTACCTACAGAAACAGCCGAAGTGACTCAGATGTTAAATTTATCGGCCGTGTTTGTTTACAAACAAAGACGTCGGCCAGCCTGTAAGTAAAGCTTGCGATTCAAGGTTTTCAGTGGATTTGTTTACATGAAGTGTGGACCCGCATTTGAGAAATGCACTCAGAACAACCTGCTTGTATATTTGGTGTGTGCTGCTTACCCGTGGTTCCCTTGGGGCAGCTGCAGACGTAGGCGTTCTCTCTGTCCTGACAGGTGCCTCCGTTCCTGCACGGCTGGCTCAGACACTCGTTGATGTTGGTCTCACACAGCCTCCCGGTGAACCCGGGCTTGCAGTGGCAGCTGAAGGAGGCCAGGCCGTCGACGCAGGAGCCGTAGTGGCACGGGTTGGAGTAACACTCATTGATGTCTGTCTCACAGTGCCTTCCAGTGTAGCCTAAAGAACACAGTTGACTTTCATTGGAGTCCTTCGCTTAGATGTTTGACGTCCTTTTCCTTTGATAAAACATTTAATTCTGTAATATGTGTTTATGTTAACGCTTTCCTACCTTCGGTGCACTCGCAGGTGTATTTGTTGGACCCGTCTGTGCATTTGGCGCCATTTTTGCACGGCGTACTGGCACACTCGTCGATGTCTATCTGGCAAAGATTCCCAGTGAAGCCTGAAAAACAAGAGGCCGTTATTGTGTGTAAAGAAGTGTGTGTGTGTGTGTGTGTACAAACATGGCTACTTTGTTCTCATCGTTCTGAGCCAGTAACACTAATAATCCTGGACCCATCTTCTAAGGGCTCTCAACTATTTACCAAATCTGCATATTAATGAACATTTGTGCAACACGACAAGCTCACTCTTTCCCCTTTCTCTTCTTTTCAGAAAATCTTGGAAAAAAACGAGGGAGGCGACAGTAGAGGGACAAGTTCGGTTAAAGAGGGGGAGGGAGGGAGAGCTGAGGGAAGAGTGAAAGTTGGGAGGCCTCCTGACCAACAAAGGCGGGCCTGTCTGTTCCAACGCAGCGCCAAATTGAGCGCATTGCCTTCTTTGTCGTCACCCCCCCTCCCCCCACCACCACCACCACCACCAAAAAAAACTTTTCCATCACAATGTGCATTCTCCTGCCTTGGTGTTACCCCATCCTCACCAGCCCCCACCACAGCCTGCCCACCTCTAAAAAGAGCCAGCTTGACCTCTGACACTGCGCTATTCAGACTCTTGTTC